ACGTTGCCCTATGGGGGATTGGTTGGGGATCTGGGGAAATCTGGGAACAAACAACGGCATGGCGAAAAGAAGAGGAACCGGCCAGATCCACGTGGCGGCGTCACCTCTCACGTGCATGAGCTTAGCGTGGTTGTCAACGTGTCTCTCCGTGATTTCGGAGTTATGAACACGATTCCTGCTCCAGATCTCGCAATCGAGGTGAAAAGAAGCGAGCAATGTGTCCAATCAACATATCGCATAGCCGGGCACGGGCCGTGTGGGCGAGTCTGGGCCCTCATCGGCTGTCGGCCGTCGGCAGCGGCCGAACTCTAACAAATTGCCCGGCTCTTGATGCGGCACCACTTCGGGACGGTCTTTCAGAAAAAGTTGACTCTGCAAATGACCCTTGACCGGGGTAATGTCCTGGTTTGACGCCGATTAGGCCCCCCAGACGCCACTGCAGGCACATGATCGTAAGATGAGGTGATCAAAAGCCTTTCAAGATGGCAAAGTGGGGGAAAATATGAGTCTGCTGATGAAAAGTAAAGATGAGAATAATAAATGGAACGTAAACAATACTCAAAGTGTTGCTCACAGGGAAAGGACTTAGCCGTAAATCGGTACATTTATCCTTAGGGAATGGTATAGCCTTCCGATCGTCAGCTGCCAAGTAGAACCCCCTCTGCTGCGACCTCCAATGGTTTTTGTGCCACGGCTTCTCCTGCATCTTGACGAACCGTCATCGACAAAATCGATTTGCATCCACGAGGTGAATGATCTTCCGATCAGTCTAGGAAATATCAAACCTTAACCCTTCGTTTGTAGCAACCCGTGGGGCTGCAATAATTGCGTGGCGTCTGGTCAGACTGATCATCTCGCTTGGGCAGGTCTTTTGACATATGCGCTATCGGGCTACGCCCCGGCTCTTGATGATTTGAGGTTTGCTGGTCTAGAGTGTATATCGTTCTGGCATGAACACAGTCCGATCAAAACTGATAACTCTCAATTGTTGTCAAACAATCCTTGACGCTGCTGTATCTTTCGAGTGTCTTGGATGGCCTACTGAGACACAATTGTCAGAAAATTTAGCTCAATAGTGATTCTATAAAGGGTAAGAAGTTATTGAAACCAGCTGTTGTATCACAAAGTATCACAAAGAGACTTGGAGACAGACGGACTTGGACCCATAGCTCCAACAAATGCTAAGAGAAATCGGAACGTCCCCATTGTCCATTCACGTTTGCGCCGACGACATGGAGCAAAACTTGATTTTGACCGAGATTGACAGTCTTATGAGATGATCTTAGGTGAGAGTAAGACAAAATTGTGCCGGAGTAGGAGGGGAAGTGGACGGCAAAGACTGAGTTGGACAGTCAATCGCTAAAGAGGTGGAATCGACCACGTGAGAATCACACCGAGCCTCCTGTCTCTACTTTTGTTTTATTTTCGGACGGTTAATGGCTACAGTACGTGAAGTAAGTATGGAGTGGTTCTGGACGGTTCTTGACCCTCCTAAGTATGATTGAAGATCTCTCCACCTTGTGTAACAACCCCATGGTTTGTCGTATCTTGAGAGAAATGTAACAAAACGATAAGACCCATTATATCCTAGCAATTATGAAAGTGGCTCGAGATGTATAACTCTAACAACGTCTTGTATGTTCCCACTATCAATAGACTATATGCCTGTAACACGTTCCATCACTGCTTCTGACGAATCCTCCACTAACCATTATACGCTATAGTCCGATAATTATATGTAATTAGTTTTACGACCGCCGCTTAAAGTTCAGGCCATAAGTATCATGCACAGCAACGACCTCTAGTTGCTTGTCAGCCCCAGGTGCCACAGCAATCTCTGAAGGTCTATCAGGGTCGATTTCACCTTTCTCGCTTGCCTCCAGACCATCAGCGGACTTTTCGACCACGTCCCATTCTGTTCCTGCGGCGACCTCCAGGTTCTGACCACGGGTTTCTCGCACAAAGGCGAAGCAGAAGAGCGCAGCGGTGATGTCGAAAGCCATGAACAACAGGAAGGTGTTTGCACCGATGTTATCAATCATGTAGGGACTGGCAAAAGAGAAACAGAATGATGTTGCCCAGTGAGCCAACATACTGCATGCTAGTCCCAGGGCTCGAATACGCGTGGGAAAGATTTCCGGCACATATGCCCAAGGGACTGGACCCCATGAACAGTTGTACACCTAGTAGGAAACGTTAATCAGGCACTAAGACATGTAATGTAAGAAGGTTTCCTACCATGATATCCAAGTAGAGCATGGCCACCGTGGCTCGGCCGGCAGAGGTGACCGACGTACTCGACTCGGTCGGGATACACTTGACAATCAAAGCGGTAATCAACATACACACTGCCATGAAGGCTGATCCGCCCGTAAGCAACATCCGACGACCGAATCGCTCTGCGAGGAAGAGGATGAAGAACGTGCAAGCGATGAATTTCACAGCACCGAAGAGACCAGTGAGCAGAAGATCGCGATTACCTCCGCTTCCGACAAGAAGCTTGAAGTATTCTGGCGCGAAGACAGCGAGGGCACTGCTTCCCGTTGCATTTTGGAACACGAAAAGCATAGGCCCGACGCAGAAACGCAGGCGATTAGCCGGTTCCCACAGCTCACGAAGAGAAAAGTTCTCTTTTGCTGCCTTTTCTGCCTTCAAACCCAGTTGTGTTTCCTTGAATTCTTCGATGGTCTTCTCTCCTTCGTCGCCACGAATCCAGGTCAAGGATTTCCAAGCTTCGTCGGTTCTGTTTTGGCTCAGCAGCCAACGTACGGACTCGGGCAGTGTACACGCTCCGATAACCATGATTCCTCCCGAGACCAGCTGAAGACCCACGGGGATTTGCCATTCGCGCGATGTTTTCGAAATGCTTGCACTCGCTGCGACACCCTATGTGTTTGTCAGCCAATGGCCAGGCACAATGTCTGTTAGTACACGTACGTAGTCTATCCAGTAAGCCGCTAGGATACCCCATGTGTATAGCCATTGGTAGAAGGAACCACATCGCCCCCTGATTTCCTTCGGCGTCATCTCGGCGGAGTACATAGGGACGACAACACTTTGGCCTCCCATACCAATACCAGCGATGATGCGGGCTGCGTACCATGCGCCAAGCGAGTGGGTGTTAATGACCTGGATAATAACCCCAATGCAGAAGACGGCAGTTGAGCCGATGATGACCCATTTGCGCCCGAACTTATCGGTGAGATAATAGGCAAAGAGAGATGCGACGAAGGAACCGAGCTGCTCCAGACCGACCGTTAAGGAAGAGACCTTAGACTCCTGGCCGCTAGTATAACGAAAGTCATCCTCGAAGGTCTTGTAGCTCAAAATTCCTCCCGCGATACCGGAGTCATAACCTGCCAAGAACGAGGAGACGCTGAAAGGGGTTCGAGGTTAGCGATCATATGGAAAAGGACACTGGCATCTCTCACAATATGATTGCGGCCAAGTGATAGGCCCTCAGCGTCCCTAGTGTGGAGTTGAGCTTGGGAAATTCCAAAAGCGCCATGATAACGGTGCTGTTGGCTTATTTGTGGATGGATGGAAAAGTAAAACTCCAGAATAGCTGAGGGCGACTAGAGACAGGCTCAGCACAAGATATAAATGATCTTTTCCATCGGGGCTCCATGACCTCCCATGGCGCTTCGCTGAGCGGCCAGGATATGCTGGTGGTGACATGCTATTAGCGTCAATTGCGTGCTGAGTGCCCTGTGAGTGCGCAATTTCGCTGGATATATACTGGCAGAAATATTTTTTATATCAGCCCATGCTATTCATATGATTGCCAACAACCAACTAGACAGGGAGAAGCTTGCTGGTTCGACGGTCCCAAATTGTTATCGTAGGCGAGAGCCGACGCACGGACATTGCTCTAGCGATACATCACCACAGCTCAGTGGACTTTGATGAAGCTTGGTGGTGACGCCTTCGTGCTGATGGATGAGGTGATGGCTATGGAGTATTAGTGGCTATCTGATTCCCGTTGGGCCGTCTGATTCGACGAAGTTGACGCGCGTCGCGACAAGAAATCATTGGAAGTGTTATGTAGTGCGTCCAATTGCCCCACCGATTAAAACAAGAGTCATAAGGCAGAGAGTTTAGCAGTTGATCACAGAGATGAGATAGACCTTCATATCCACCTCAATAATATCAGTTTGAACCTTAATTGCTTATCCAGCTTGCAATATTTAGAGTTAGTGGGGCTTTCTAAGAACCCCAATATGAGCTATCCTTGAGCTTAACCCAGACAGCGACCACTGGAGCAGGAGTTTCATTGGATCACAAGCAAGCTAGTTTAATTGAGGATGTTACCTATATTCCATCATCTAGATTATAAGTGTACTACTTTCTTGTAGCTGGGCTCATTGCCACCTTGCTGCCACCTCGTCAGTGCGTGCTTTCATGTACATGCCCCTCGGGCCCTACCTCGGAGGACCAGTATCTCCGAGCGTTAGTGCATTTTATCTGAACCGAACTGTGAGTCCTTACACTTAGGGCTTTAATAGATAGCATGTGGCTTGGTACTTGAGGTTGCCTGAACCCCTAGTTGCTGGCTTACCTTTCTTGACAATCGTTGCACGCTTTCAGTCACACAGTCAAACTCGAGGTATTACAGTCACTCTTCCCTCGTTTTCGTGTCGTAACCTAACCAACCTCTTATAAACCAACACGGGCCCTGGGCCTGGATCTATGATGGCTGCCACATGTCTTCACCGAGGGACCTTCCTTCGTGAATCTCAAGATACGCAGACATCTGCATTCATAAGCTTGCAATTATGGGAATGTCTATCATATTCTCGGCAAGCGGTGTTACCGGCCCGAGGAATAATTACATTGAATTCGGATTCTGGAAGGAGTGACTGCTTGGAGGTGGAAGCATAAATTCAGTTTCCTCTTCCAACCTTACCTCATCCAAATCCTCGCTTCTTCTGGCTTCTTTATTTGCTCAGACGCGTGTCGCTTCTTACTATCCGCTTAATATCGTGTTTCAGAAACTAAAGATGGCCGATGATCTTTTTGATGTCTCTCAGTGGCAGTTCAGTACAACGTGGCTATATCTTCCGTGTACAGAAGAATACTGGAACAGACCCGACCAGTTTCAAAGAGCTATTAACGACATTGATACCTTGACCTACGCGATCTACAACTACAATCCCGCCATCCCCCCTACTATGCGTGGTGTTTTGCTTGCGGTTTATCACCCGCTGGATTATGATACAACTTCTATCCTGGCCATTGCACGCGGCGATCTGGTCAACTATCAAATTGCCGCCGCTGGACAACCCGAGTTAATGGGACCCAGCCAGTCGACCATATGTCTCCCGCTTAACGAATCGACCATATATCTCTCGCTCAACGAGAACAACTACATGAACATTAGGTTTATACAGCGCTTGAGTAAAGTTCACCCTTGGCTGATTTTGTTTACAGCGAAGACGCGAGTATGAACACAGAGTTCCAGTGGACTTAGTTTATCTGGATGTCCTCAGCCTTAAGCCTTATCCCTTTCTAGTAGATACTTGATCGCGTGGATAGGTCTGGGCCTCTTAGTTATTACGTTAGCCTGATAATGCTGGGTTATGGGCTAAGAATGATCTCGACGAACAAGGTGAGTGAACCTCACTTCCTCTTAGTCCGCATTGTCTTCAACGCTCTAACAAAGTCCTCATGCAGTAGTATCTATTTATTATTTATTAAGAGAAGTTACTCTCGTCGTCTCCTGCTGTTTTTAGCTACATAAAAATGGCAAGGATTCTTGGTTTAATTTCTCGCTATGACGCTACTCAAAAGGGGTCCGAAATAATTCTTCAGTCTGATAATAACGGGCCTTGAGCTGAGCATGACTTAGAAGATAATCGTGGACCTCACTCTATCTCGTTACGATCATTTGATCCTCAGATCTTGTAAAGGCTTATACGATTATGCCTATCGAACTATGAACCCTGATTCCGTCTTTCCCTGCCGTTTTGGTTACAAACCGCAGGTATCTTAGCGTGGACTCTTGAGGAATATATTTCACTCCTCTAAAATCAGAAAGTTGGACCTTCTTACAATGAAACGCATGTTTACCAGCAATATTAATCGCAGTAATAGCATTGCGAGAGAATATAGGTTATCTAAGACGCTATCTCGGCGACATTAGATCGAATGGTGTATGTCGCTCACCACGCCGACGCTGCGCCTTACGCCGCCAATATCACCCAGTTAATTGATTATACGGAGACAATTCATACCCCATGTGGCACTGACGCCTGCGTCGCTCAGGAAGTCTAGGTGCAGCCAGTTTATAAATCCGGGACCGAAGTACTCAAGAAGGGATTGGTCCAGTGTAAGGGTGCTAGGCTCCTCCTGGCCGATAATCTGCATCACCGCGACGTACTGTTGAAGCTACGTGCTGGCGTCATCTATGTCGACTCAATTTGACCAGTCGATAACGGCCAGTATCCGACTTTTTCTGGGCTAGGCCCTCATGAAGTAGATTTAGCTAACAACATGTCGACATCTTCGAAGGGCGATACAATAATGCGCTCTCAACTTCATCTTGTCTGCTTCGCAGTCATTGGAGGCTGTGCTGTCTAGCCCCGCTCATACTTACTGTCTATGTAGCTCATCGTGGGCTGTTTACCCGGATGTTTGCTCATGGTTGAGATCCGAACCGTGGCTGACCCCAGTCTGTGACTCAACATGCAGACGTAGCGATGAGTCTTCGACAACATGGCGCTTCTAAGTTCTTGAGCCCCTTTTCTCTTTGTTCTCTTCCAAGCCACCACAACACAGACTGTCTACCCAACAAGCTACCCACGCGCTCTTAATTTACTACAAATAACTTCCATCTTTCGTCTTTACGTATAATCATGTCTTCCGATCAAAAGGCCAGCTCTCTCCCAGCTCCAAACAGTGTGCAGCCAACCAAAGGCCCAAAATACAAACGCAAACGCCTGTTGTGGATCCTTCTCGGAACCTTTTTCCTCGTCGCCATAGTGGTTGTCGTTGTCTGTCTCTCAGTCTTGCTCCCTAAAAAGTTTAAGCACGACAACAACGATGATGGAAGCAGCCATAACACCGGAGTAAGTACTACTCAGGGGAATGACACCCTTCCTATGGATCCCGATGGAGGCACTTACAACGAAGGCGGTCCTCACAATGAAACTGGCACTCATACCGCGAGTGTCACTCCGACCGGTGATGTTCCGCACCAGCCAAGTGCTACTTCTAATGGGGAGGACTCTCAGCGGCCAACTGCAGTTGTCAATGTAACTGACACACAGCCCGTACAGGGAGGAAGCCAGTCCCAGGATGGAGAATGCCATGTTGTCAGCAAAGTATCTCACACCTTCTATGGATATCCCGACAACGACCCTCCGGGTTCAGACATCTCGGAAGACTGTGGCCGTGGCATGGCGGCTGGCGGCATCGGCACCCACGAGAATCCGCTCACCTTCGCCACGGCACCTGGCGAATTCGACAGATGCGAGACTGTCTACTCGCCGTACCTACAGAAATATCTGATCAACGAAGACTATTGCGAACAGTGCACTAAAGATTGGAAGAGCCATATCTGGCATGTCGACGTGTGGTTGGGAGGCAACTCAACCACCTACGGCACGGAGCAGCTGAAATGCGAGAATAGTCTGACTTCAGATGAAGAGAGCCAGGTCGTGGTCAAGAACCCAAGCAGTACTCTGCCTGTTGATCGTGAGTTCTTTTACATGTTAATGTTGTCATTGTGTCGTGCTCATATACTGATGGTTGTATCATAGTTACCTCGTTCTATCTGGGCGGCAACTCGGTTTGCAGCCTGGATCACATTTATCCGGATTACGATACCAAAGACTATTGCTAAATGGTGATCTTTCTTCCGGGAGGAGTGAGATTGATTGCTATACTACTTTTTTCAAGTTGATGTTTTATTAGCCAGTTGTTCGCCATTTTGCTTATGATAGGTTTTGCTGGTTTTGACCCTTGCTACTATTTTCCTGCATCACAATAATACACTCCATGTTGCTTTGCTCAGCTGCCTACAGACTTAGCAGTGCTCAATGACAAATATTCTAAATCATATTGAAACGCGTAGACCCTCAGATAATGCCACAGGAGGGAAGAGTATGGTAATTTCACGGCAGAGCATCTCACCAGTTCTCAGAATGGAAAGAGCACTGTCATGGCACTATTGGCGCCCCACCCAGTGGAGACTTATACTACAAAGTATCGGGCGGCTATCTGAGCAATCGGATCTTCTTGAGCCACAGGCTAATATCAAAACATCTTGTGGCGTCTAGCCTTGTTTTTATTTGACCGTCGGGAAGCCGGTTCTGCACAATCTTTTCCCTTGCGTTTTACTTTCCGATTAGGTTTCATGCGAAGGATCTCAATTGGCACCTTCCTTAATAAGTAGTGATAGTAGTATTATCCTCAGATTTAACGCGGCGGTGGCACTCTGCTAAGTCACTAACGGCAGGAGACACTCCCTTAAGTTAGCACACGCTAGCATTTTCCTTCCTAACTAGATACAGGCAGTACGTCTCCGTCTAGATTCCAGTAAGATTATAATTAATGATAAGTAGTATACAGAGTCATCAATGGTTTTCCATGTCATTAATGATTGGATGATAGCCAAACTATGGGTCTTACGTAATGAACAACGAAGCCTTCGAGCCAAGATGCATTTAACACAGCAATAGAGTCAGCCTATACAGGCGGATATCGATGTTCACAACCAGAAATCTAGGCCCTTGAAGCTCCACTGCCTATTCGAACAGGCATTATGATTTCAGGATGTCTGCAGGACCCTAGAAGGAGATTTAGGCTGTTTCGGGAGATCAATTCGGCTTTCCAAATCGCCCACGGATGCTCCACCGACTAGGCTAAACCCCATCACAGCGGACGTTTCAGGTACGGCAGGGTCTCACATTTAGGGCCTCGGCAGGGTCTCGGCAGGTACCCTTCTTAATAAAGGCTAAATAGCTTCTGCAGAATCATGGTTATATCAGGAACGTCTCCTCCGTCGCTGCAGACCTTCTCTGCTTACTCCCAGCCCCATTGAATCAACTCCTCAAACCAAGTCTCTTTCAACATGCTTACCAAGAACCTTCTCCTCTGCTTCGCCGCAGCTAAGGCTGTTCTGGCAGTTCCCCACGACTCCGTCGTCGAGCGTTCGGATGCCTTGCACAAGCTCTCTGAGCGTTCGACCCCGAGCTCGACCGGCGAGAACAACGGCTTCTACTACTCCTTCTGGACCGACGGCGGTGGTGATGTGACCTACACCAACGGTGACGCTGGCTCGTACACCGTCGAGTGGTCCAACGTTGGCAACTTTGTTGGTGGAAAGGGCTGGAACCCTGGAAGTGCGCAGTAAGTTAACCTCTCTCAAGCTGTCCCTCTAGGGTATTCAGTGAAACAAATGCTCACATACCTCCAGGGACATCACCTACAGCGGCACCTTCACCCCTAGCGGCAACGGCTACCTCTCCGTCTATGGCTGGACCACTGACCCCCTAATCGAGTACTACATCGTCGAGTCCTACGGCGACTACAACCCCGGCAGTGGAGGCACGTACAAGGGCACCGTCACCTCCGATGGATCCGTCTACGATATCTACACGGCTACCCGCACCAACGCCGCTTCTATCCAAGGAACCGCTACCTTCACCCAGTACTGGTCCGTTCGCCAGAACAAGAGAGTGGGAGGAACTGTTACCACTTCCAACCACTTCAACGCTTGGGCTAAGCTGGGCATGAACCTGGGTACTCACAACTACCAGATTGTGGCTACCGAGGGCTACCAGAGCAGCGGATCTTCCTCCATCACTGTTCAGTGAGCTGTGGATGTCCAACTGTGCTTGCAGGGATTGGGTGGATGTGGGAAATGAGTGCGATGGTCCTTGCAAATACTGAGCAGTCGTATGATGTGTGAAACAATTATTTGTTCGCTATCAATGCACTTGTCATCTGGAGTCAATCAAGCCCCCCAGCGTAGTATCCTTCGTACTCCGAGAATAGTACATTACGAAGTATGTCGGCAGATCGAGGCGCACCACTATCCGAGGGATACCTCTTTTGGTCTAGTTGTAGCAGTCTGTGACATTAACATCAAGGATTATGCGTGCAAGCTCCCGTCATATTGTAGCGGTCATTTCGGAGTAGACGACACCGGTTGATCGAGCCATAACGCTATGAGCTATAATTTGAACAGCAGGAGTCCAGACGGTTCCGACCTCAGTGGTTCCAGTAGGCATCTTCTTTTACACGTTAGGGGGTGTCTCAATTTCAGACAACCAGCAATTTTTCACGTTCGGGATGTCCCACTTATCTCTTATGATCCTTCAACACGTCTACCAATGAAAGCCACTTTTTACTATTGTAAGTAAAAATCGACAAGCCCGTCAGCGCCATGGACAAGCTTCGCAAAGGAAAGCTCCTATTCGCTTTCCGATCAAGATGGGCGGCCCGCTCTCCATTTCAGGGCGGTGGGTCTAAAGCAGCCAATCATCAACAGCTTACTAAGGGGTTGTCTTGGCAGGCAAATCTCGACGAGATTCAAAGAGACCCACGAGGCAGTTGGCTTCACACCTCCATCAGATCCATCTCCATCATATATCATATATATAAAGTGAAAAGGAGATGAGAAGGGAGCAGACTTACTCACTGTTCCACTACCTTGCTATTTGCAGGTAAAAACGGCCATTTGCCGAATCGTCATACTATAATTTCACTGTCGAAATTTTCCTCTAGCAATTAGTTGCAGGTTTTTCTATATAAATAGAAACTCAACCATCCATCATGCAGAGTCCTGGAACCACCGTTGGCACGGTGCTATATGAGACCATGGCTGGAAAGCTGAACCCTAAGCTTCTCCAAGCTCTCAAGGTCTTGGGTTTCACCCATATGACGCCCGTTCAGCAACGGGTGCTAACTGAACTGCCAGATTGGCGCAGTGACTGCCTCGTCCAGGCTAAGACCGGTACCGGCAAGACGCTGGCTTTCCTGCTGCCTACATTGCACTGTCTTCTTGACCCCACCATGGCACCGCCTAGAGGGCAGGTCGCCACCTTGATCGTTACCCCTACGCGTGAACTGGCCCAGCAGATTGCCAAGTCATGTGACCAACTGACATCGCAAATGGCAGTACCTCTGAAATGCGACATTGCTGTTGGTGGAACCGCTCGGGCTTCTGCGTTTTCGCGCTTCATGAAAGAGGCTCCCTCTGTTCTTGTAGCAACTCCAGGACGGTTGAAAGATTACCTGTCCGAGCCCGAGGCGGCTATCAAGCTGTCTAACATTCGGACCTTGATTCTGGACGAGGCCGATACGATGCTTGAGAGTGGCTTCCTAGCTGATGTGAAGCACATTATCCGACACATTCCCCCCAAAAGCGCCGGATGGCAGGGAATGTGCTTCTCTGCCACTCTTCCTCCCAAAGTCAGGGATGTGGTCAGTGTTGTGCTCAAGCCAGGCTACAGTAGCATTTCTACTATTGATGAAAACGAAACCCCAACGCATGAGAGAGTTCCCCAGTATCATGTGCTGATGCCGTCTGTGGCAGATTCTTTCACCACTCTTGCCTCCCTTCTTCAGTTGGAAACGAAGACCAGTTCGAAAATCATCGTTTTTGGCGTCACGGCAAACATGGTCAGTCTCTTCGCAGCTGCCTTTTCTCGGGGCTTGACGAAATTGAGTGTGTTTGAGATTCACTCCCGACTCAGTCAGAGCGCTCGCACCAAGACTACCGCTCAATTCAAGGAAGCGGCTGCCGGAATCCTCTTCGCGTCAGACGTCATTGGCCGTGGCATGGATTTCCCCAACGTCGACTTGGTCATCCAGGTTGGCTTGCCGACCAACGGCGAACAATACGTTCACCGTGTTGGTCGTACAGCCCGTGCCGGCAATGATGGTCGCGCCATCATCCTCCTCACCGAAGCGGAGACCTTCTTCCTGAGAAACAATCGCCACTTACCCATCCAGCCCCATCCCCAGACCGACGCCATCATCGAGGGAGCTGCCTCGTATGCAGAGACCGTTGCGGAAGCTATGTACACTATCGATGAAGAGAAGAAGCAACGCGCCTACTCGTCTTTCATCGGTTTCTTTGCTGGTTCGGGTCTCCTGAAGCAGCTTCGTCTCGACAAACCGGGTCTTGTTCAGATGGCCAATGAGATGGCTATCCAAGGCATGGCATGCCCTGAGCCCCCTGTCATCGACAAGAAGATCGTTGGCAAGATGGGGTTGAAGGGTATTCCCGGATTCAACTATGGACACGGAGGTGACTCGGTTCGAGGCTCGTCTTTTGCGCCGCGTGGTCGTCCTGGTGGCAAACGCGATGCCAGTATTGGCGGGCCAGGCGATGGCAGTGGGTTTGAGAAGAGACAGAAGAGCGCGCGCGGCAGGGGCCGTGGACGGCGTGGAGGGGGCCAGAGATCAGCATAACTGGACAGTCACTGATTATAGTGTTAGCATTCTAGACAATAGACAATAGACTTACCATCATCCTAACAAATGACTATGACTTTACGTTGAGCAAAATCACAAGCAGGACTTCATCCAAACAGTCGGGAACATACCTAGAGCTACAAGTAATCCTGCAATAAGGCTCATTTCAGTATGAAAACTCCGATAAAGAACCCAGTTCGTAATTTTCCTTTGGCAACTCACGAGCCCATTGTCACGTCACGTTCATCCGCGTTGCTTCTTTCTCCTCTTTCTTCTCATTGTTCCCCCCATTCTTCTATCAACAAAGCGTCGTTCCCTTCCTTTTCTTTGTCCTCTGATTCCAGAAGCCACTGTAAACTCTGTTCTCTGCAGCAAAGCTCCACTTTTGTGTCTCTCTTTCGTGGATCCCAAGCTATG